ACATTTCACATTAAATTAGATCTTATATTTACTGAGGTTTGAATTTGTTGATTATTAGTAATATTATTTAAAATTGGATTGAAATTTGTACCAGTAGATATTTGTTGAAAAGGAAGTTGAGTACCAGGTGCTGTTATAACTTCACGTTGAACACGAACATGAGGTGGACCATATTGAACAATAATAGGTCGTGCACTTTGTTGAACTGAAGAAGGTAAACGTTCATACAGAATACGTCGTTGTCGTGGTGGAATTGGAAGCCATCGTTCAATAATAACATCTTGAGGTTTAGGTGGTAATGGTGGATATTGCTCGATAACAACTTGACGTGGTGGTTTTGGTCCAGGTGCAACTATTTTATCAATTACAGTTGTACCTATGATATATAAAACAGGAAGAAAACTAAAAATTTATTGTACATTTAATTATTATTAACCTTCAGCCGGTGGAAGTGGTGGTGGACGCTAAAACAATTAAAATAAATAGATTAAAGACAAAATTAATAAGTATACCTCGCGAATAACAACTGGTGGTGGAGTTGGAGGCGGAGGTGGTGCACGTTTGATAACCTATATAAGACAGAAACGATGATTATATAATCATAGTTTTTATTCTCTTACAATAGGTGGATCAGGTGGTGGTCCAGGTGGTTGTTTTTCTCGAACAATAATAGTTCCACCTACGGGTGGTGTTGGTGGTTGTAAATATCTTACAAAAACCTATTATCGATAATGAATTATAAAACAAAAAAATCTTCTTAAATTTCATTTACTCGTTGTTTATAAACAACATCTTCTTGAGGTGGACGTTGAACTACTCTCGTATTTGGATCACGTTTCATATTCTATGATTGAATAAAAATTAATTTTGTTTTAGAAATTGAATTATATAAAAGTAAATTACTTCAATATCAATATCAAGTTGTTGCTGATTCATATTATTTCCAAGGAATTGATTAGGAGATGAAGAAAAAGGTAGAGGACTTGATCGATGATCGAATGATGAAGGATTAAAATGATTCGGTGGAGATATTATAGGTGGTGATGATGAATTTCCAATTCCACCATAAGTTGTTGGTGGAGGATGATCTATTGGAGGAAATGATGCTGATCGATTGATAGCATTCATTTGAGAGCCAGTAGTATTATAACCTCCACCAAAAATAGGCGGTGGAGAAGATGGTGAAGATTGAGGAAGATGATTTAGTGAAGACGTTGATTGTCCAAGTGTAGGATTAAGTGGAGGTGCTGCTGATGAAGAGGGTGCATTATTTGCATTATTATTTTGTTCGCCAATCAAATGTCCGTGACCAGCCTGGCGAAGCCAGTTTATCATCGTCTGGTCATTTGATACGTCCGTTAAAGGCATCTGGCTACAATACTACTTGACTCTGAGTAAAAATCTAAAATTAAAAAAACAATTTTTACTCAATTTTATTTCAAAACTAAAATGTTATCAGAGAAATTTAATTATCGACAATGAACATTTTCTATTTGAAGAATACTAGAAGTATATATAACATAACCGCAAGCATGTTTGGACATATGTATACGAAAGTATTGCACAAAGTAATCATTTGAAAAGGTGGAGAGCAAAAGGAGAGAAGCAGAACATAACGCATTTTTACGTTACATACATATATACCTATTCGTCCTTCATGGTAGTTGGCTTTTTATCTTTCGCTTTTTCTTATACTCACATTTTATATGTATGTATGTATATGTATTCATTCGCACAAAATAAATCATGTTGCCCAAAATGGATTACCTTGAGAAAGAGACAAAAAGCCTATATACGGTTTTTTTTAAATATCCGCATGTTCTGAGGTGTAAAGTGTGTGTATGACAATGTAAATTATCTACTTTCAATCATGTTCTTTTAAAGATTTTATCGATAAATATAGAAGGACATTAAATTATATCTATCTCTATATGTATATGATGGGGTTTTCAAGGTACCATCTGGGATACATAGATACAAACGCGTGTTAATGACGCACTGATGCGTATCCAAAGCTGACACAATGTAAATCATAAATCGATGAGAAATGAGAATGGTTGAAGATAAAAATGCCCAGAATGTATGTAATATGCATGAATAATTACATTTATATTAGTTCTCTTAAATGTATGTACAAAAAACAAGGATTGTTAAAAACGTATATATAACATAAAAGCCAACCTAAAATTTCAATTATACTTATTTCAGGAAAAAAACCCACCTGTTCATTTTTTATAGAATTATATTGCTATTTTATTTTTTTGTAAATTTGTTTTTGTATTTTAATATTCAACAAGAGTTTTCACTATATAAAGTGTGAAAATTATTAGAATATGAATTGATTTAATAAGTTCATATTAATTATTAGTAGTTCATCCTTGATTGATCTGTATGTTCACCTTGACCTTATTTTTCAGTACATTGATTGATTGCCGTGTGTCCTCTAGCAAACCTATTCATTAATGTTATCTCCATGTAAGCACATTTAATATGTTATCGTTAACAACAAATCAAACATATGTATGTCAATGTAGATCTTTGAAATCTAAGAACTTTTGAATCTAATATAATTATATTGTAATACTTTGAGCATCCAATACTAAACCTAAGAAAAGTAGAATCATATTTGTCCTTTAAAACCAGTTAAACATTAATTTATATCTGCGATTTTACTATTCAATTAAAGTAAAAAATGTATCCGTCTTTTATTCAGTTGTTTTTATCATTATTTATTTAAACAAGATTCATTACAAGTAACTGATAATATAACAATTGAATGATTCAAAAATAACCCATTTATCTGATGTAATGTGACATATACTATTTATTTTATAAATTAAAGTGATTGACAAATTTATGTATCCCAAGTACAATATGGTATTTTGTAGTATCAGTCGTGCTCATCAAATAATACGTTTAATATATCTGACATATTGATTGATACTAGTAAAGTGATATATTAGTATTTACTCTTGATAATATATAGTATGTATTTGTAAATATTGAAGATTAACTTTGAATATATCATCCAATAAGAATGTGGAAGTACTATGATTTGTTTTTCTATCTGAATATAATTTCTAAGGTATTAAAAAAACTTCATTTCGTTCGGTTTCTGTAGATTAATAACAATTCAATCAAAATAAATTTAACTCTTGCATGCTGTTCGCATTTTGTCTATTTTAAGCTGCACGTGGGCAAATCGAGATTTGTATAATGATTTTCTTTAGGTACCAATATGATATTATGAATACTAATTAAACGTTTCAAAAGTCAAAAAAAGCGTTGTGGGTCTTGCCAGATCACCAAACATCGTGGGAGGGTTAATAGATAAAATCAGTGATAACAAAATTCTTCTGAGAAATAAACTATCATGTACGATTCTTCTATCATATAATATATAAGTAATGGTTATTAATTTCAATAGACTGATAATATCTTTTTTTCGTCATTTTAACTATATCGTTATATATTCCTCCTTTAATAATATATAATTGATTATTACCATTATATCAGTGATTAATGTAGAACGTTAATATATTCCTTAGACAAATTTTACATTCTATTTACTTTCGAAATTGTCTCTTATTTTATTATTATCTAATTGAGTATATATATATATTTAATAGCAATATTGTTTCCATAATAATTGCATATTCTATTAGTATAGGTACAAGTCTATGTTTTATCTATTTTCTGGTTTTCTTCATATGCCATGTCAATCTGTATATACTTCAACATCGTTTTCTGTGTTGTTTAACTAAATAGATATTGTGGTTTATCTCTTAGTTTGTCGATTGATATTTATCATTCATGCTTGTTGCTTTCTATTTTAGTACTGTATATGAATATGCGTACATAATTGATTGCTTTTTCTCTCTCTTTGCTTTTCTTATTTTCCCTTGGCTCGATACTGACAGATACATATATTAGATGAGTGCCGACATATATCAAGGATAAGCGGGCTGGTTATTTTACTTATTATTATTATTATTATTTTGTAAGATGGCTGATCCACGATGTGTTGGAATAATTGGTTGTGGAAATATGGGATTTGCGCTTGCTCATCGTTTAACTCTTTCTGGTTTTACTGTTCTAATGGGTAGTCGAAATCCAGCTATTCGACCTAATACACATTTTCAAATAACTTCAATAATGGAATGTATCAATCGTTCAAATATACTATTTATTGCTATACATGCAGAACATTATACAAATGTTCTTATATCTCCATTAGAACATAATCCAGCATTATTTAATGGAAAAATTTTAATTGATATATCAAATCAATTGAATAAAAGAGGACAAAAATCCGATGAATTTTCAAATGCTGAACGTCTTCAAACAGCAATACCAAATTCACATGTTGTTAAAGCATTTAATACAATATCATCATTTGTTATGGAAAGTTCAACTGCAGGTGAATCTCGAAATGTTTTTGTTGCAAGTGATCATCCATTTGCGCGAGATAAAGTAATAATTCTTGCACGAGAAATGAATTTTGAATCATTTAATAGTGGTTCACTTCGTACAGCTCGTTATTTAGAAGGTTATACACGTTTTTTATTTCCTCTTTGGCAACGACCATTATATATAACATTAAGTGTTTTATTTATTTGGTTAAGTTATACACTTTATATGAGATTTATACAAACAAAGGAAATATCATGGAATCAATTATTTTTACATATAACAAATAAAGTTTTATGTATAAGTGCAATTACTATGTTAGCAATTGTTTATATGCCATCAAATTTAGCTTGTGTATTTCAATTAATATATAAAACGAAAGATCGAAGATTTCCGGAATGGCTTGATAAATGGTTACTTTGTCGAAAACAACTTGGATTATTAACATTTGCTATTGGATTAGGTCATGCAGTAATTACTTTAGTTCTTATGTCACCTGCTTATTATTCAACATGGTTTCATCCAAGTAAAATTGAAATATTATCGCTACAAAATCAAACAAAATTTATTGTTGAACATGGTCGAATGACATGGAAAGGTGAATTAGCATCATTAACAGGTATTTTAACATTACTTTCAATGTCATTATTAGCATTAGCTAGTATACCAGCAATTGGAAATCTATTAAATTGGAGAGAATGGAGATTTGTTCAATCAAAATTAGGTACATTAACATTATTATTTGCAATCGGACATGTTTTTGCTATGGCAATACCACGTTGGGTAGAAAAAAGATCTATTAAAATGTTATATTCAGTTGGATTTCTTTGTGTAGTTTTTCCTGTTCTAACTATTTTAATGAAATTTTTATTTTGGTTACCTTGTTTTAATCGCCCTATTGTTCGAATTCGTCGAGGAGAACGACCAAAACTAACAACAGCTTAAATATTTTTATATATTTTTTATTTTTCTAGCTTCTTATGTCATTCTTAATTTGACCCTAAATAAATATAAACTTATTATGGTAACAGATTAAATATATTAATCATAGATGACGAGATGAAAGTATTTTAAGACAAATAGATATATGTCTTTTTTTTGTTATCAAAAAGAATTTCAAGTTGAGATAAAACACATGATAAGCAGTTGAAAGATTAGTCACAAGAGAAAAGTATGTCATTAACCATACATGAGTACATAGATAAGGGTTTAAAATATAGATTTATGTTATTTATTAAAAAATTTTAATATAATAATAATAAAACAAAAATCTCATATGTCAAGGCACAAGAGTATATTTAATTATCATCTGTTTATAGATTATATCACTAATAGTGAGAAAAATCAATCTAATATATATTTAAAATAGAGTAGTATTCGTAGTATTCAGTTCTAATATTGGTAGGATTGCAGTACTAGGATTATAAAGTAAACCTAAAGAGAAAAATAATTAGAGAAAAATAAAAAAAGTATTCGTTTATTTTTACCAGCTATAGATGCAGTCATTAATGAAACCATATTACCACCGATTAATGCTCGTGGTGCAATTTTAACTAAAGCTCGTTTTCGTTCGGGTGCAAATACACCAAGTGTTGCTAATGCAATACCCATTGAACCAAAATTAGCGAATCCTATTAATAAATTTTAAAAAATAAAACTACAAAAATATATTGAATTAATTTACCACATAAAGCATAAGTTAAAATGATAAGTGAACTATCCTAAAACGAGAGGAACAATCTTTAGTTTCTATTTTTGCAAAAAAATTTTTATTCGAAATATTTACATTCCACAACATTTGCGTGCCCTCTGGTAATGTTAAATTACCACTTAAATATAACGGAAATGTATTATTTTGTATAAGTTCATCACGTAACTTGCGAATTACACCAAGTTCTTGATAAGCAATAAACTAAAACAGAAGCGTATGTTATTTTAAATGAAAATTATAGATATTAATTATTACTTCATTTAAGCTAACTTTAATACCAATAAGTTTTGATCCAAGAAAACAATCCTGAAGTGGTACACCAATTATAATTGCAAACGGATAGAAGACTAAACCAAGTAAATATTGAAAATTAACTTCAGGATGATGAACAAGACCAAAAAACCATGCGATTGTGATATCAAGAAAATTTAGTATACTAATAAATGCGATTAAATTCGCAATTAGATAACCACAAATTTTTAATGCATTTCCAGCACCAGTCATTAAAGCATCGATTACATTGTATTGATCACTAATTGAAAAAGTATGATTTTATCGAATATGTCATGTAATCCGGAAAATAGAAACGCGGAAAATAAATAAACCACCTCGAAAGATTTTATGGTGTGGGTGTGAGTGTTAGCGTAGAAGAAAAGTAGTCCATACCTATACGTCCACATCTACACTCACCCTCCCATTCACATCTATCTACATTCATACCCACGTTCTCACCCACATCATATTCACACCCTAAACAACCGCTGCTACAACGACGACATCGATCGTGCCGAGTTTCTCGGTGGACTCTCGCTACTGGTGGCTTGGAAGAAATAAGCTTATCAGATTCTGTCTAAGATGTCCACACCTTTTACTTATTGTGTCTTCTATAATTAATAAACTTCAAGTAAAATTTTTTTCGGATTTCTTGACAACACCATTTTATCAATCGATCTAGTTCTCATAAGTCAATAGCAAAAACTGTCTTATTAAAACATATAGTCACTGTCAAGCGAATGAATTATTATAAAACACATACGGTAATGGCACATTTTTGACTGTTTCCCATGATGTTTTCGATTTATGTGTTTCTGGTAATAAAAGTTTCGCAAATCCAAGAGCACCTGGTGCAGCCATAACACTAGCAGCAATTAAATGATTTGCCGGAACACCGAAAAAGATAAATGTCGCAAGAACAGATCCTAATAAAAAATCCAAAAGTTTACAAAAAAATCAAGTAGTATGTATTCGATATCAAACCTGCCATTGTTGCAAAACCACCAACTAAAACAGCATGAAGTTCAGATGTTGTCATTGTTGGTACTAATGGCATAATCATCAATGGTGCTTCACTCATTCCAACAAATATATTTGCAGCTGCATTCATTGACTAGAAATATAATTCAGATATCTTTCTAAGTACAAAAAAAAGAAATTCTACTTCAGCTGCTGTTGTATCTAAACATTTTTGCATAAGCCATGCAATTTTTCCTATAATGTATTGCATAGCACCCAAATAATACAGAACATTTATTACTGATCCAAGAAAAATAATTATTGAAGTAACCTTTTAATACAAAAAAAAACCTAAAAAGATGAATATGAACAAACAGAATTTACCTTAAATACATAAAAATGATCTTCATAATTCACTCCAAAAACGAATATTGCTCCAGCTGCAGCATTACTAGATATCAAAAAAAGGCGAAATATAACAGTTCAATTTAAATAAATTTGAATTTTACTCAATAAATTTCACTACTTCTTTTCCAAGAAAATCAAAAAATTGAAAACCAACTTCAAGACGAATGACAATTGCTGCTAATATAAACTGTAGTATAAATGAATAAAATACGGTTTTCCATCGAATCTAATATATTATTATATTGAACAAAAAAAACATAATATTTATATTCATTTTTAATTTAAATAGTTGTCATACCTACTCGATGAGGATATTTTGAACCTATTTAAATAAAATATAGAAATTCATAATTTTTAGCTTAAAAATGTAAATACCAAGTGTTCCAAGAATAATTAATATAGCAATACCACTAAGTGAAACAAGATTTTCTGCTCGTTTCATTGTCAGTCCAAGATAAAGTGCAACAGCAAGAAAAACCAAGATATGTCCAATCCTATGATATACACAGAAAATTAACTTGAACGAAATTTGATAATAATTTACCAAGAAAATTTGTTTATTTGATGAAAAATTCTTTTTGATTGAGGATTAGCACGGGTACTTTTCGAGATATATTTGAAGACACGTTCTAATGAACGTCCGAGAATTTTCTCCCATGCAACAACAAAAACAGTAAAAGCAACAAGAAAGAATAAAGCAAAACCTAAATAAAAACTTTTCTTAATAATAAATTCTATATTTAATAAAACTTCTACCGGCATTTCCAGAAAAAATATTTCCATCGATAGGAAAAGCAGGTGTGCCAAATTTTTTACTCATAGCAAAACCAAAATAAATTATAAAACCAATTAAACATAAAATTTTCAATCCATATGCTATTATACTCTATTAGAAATTATAGAAATAAATTATTTCATAATAAATATAATCCTTTCATACTTTGAATTCTTTAATAAAATTAACTATAATTTGACGTATTTTCATTATGAATATACCCATTTTGTTTCCTTCACCAGGTAATCGTTCAAAACCAGCATTATTTTTATCCTCATCATTATCATCGTCGTCATCTTCGTCAACAGTGGTTTTATTTGGTAATTTCGTAGTAATAATAACTCCATTTTCAGGATCTGATCGTTCACCTACGAAAGTAGCATTTCTATAAGTTTGTGACATCTGAATAAAAAGATTATTTTTTTTAATCATAGTTTGAATGTTTTTTTTCAATTACCTGTTCAGATCGATCGTCGTCAAACGGTATTTTAATACGTTGTGTATCGTATTCAGTAAGCTCATAATCAGCTGTATCAACAACAACCTTTAAAAATTCTTAGTTTTAAAATTTATTCATTTAATAAAACTAACCTTTGCCATTTAAAAAGTTTTTATTGAATTGTTGTTATGTATATTTAGTTATTTCTGATCTAAGATATAGTTGGATTAAAGAAACTAATGAAAATAAATATGACATACAAAAAAAAAAAAGAAATATTTATCTCGAGATCGATGACGAAGACTAACAAAACATTAAAAAAGAATAGAAATCTCTTCTTATTCTTTGTTTTACGCGTTCTTTTCTTTTCGTTTATTTCAATGTAATCCTACCTATAGATGTTTATATCTATACTATCATTCGACGTTTTTGTTCCTTCTTGTATCTTTGCTATATTTGATAAGATAATGTGAAGTATGACATAAAAGAATTTGCATACACTTGATTTCTTTGCTTTTCAATCATTAGTCAATGTTGATTGTCCACATAAATCTCACATTTGAAAGATTATCACCAAGTGAAGCGATTTATAGATGAAAATCCATCATTGTTTTTTATTTATTAGTTCTTTCTTATCTTTGTACTTGCTCTAGTTTGTTGTTACAAGTTTAAAACTGTTTATAAAGGAGTTTATGATATATCTGTGATTTAAAGGTCCTAAATGTATGGATGTTGTTGATCAACAATAAGAACAATATCAACACAATGAACAGCCTAATAAATTAGAATCTAAGATTATAGTATCGAAAAAATTGAGCAGAAAACATATATGCATTAGCCAACTGATACATATTTTTTGATTGAGTACTAAATTTATTAAAATATTAGAGGGTGAATTCATTTTGATGAATAGCTGATTGAAAATCAATTCATATGTTATGTATATTTGTTCAATAAAATCGAAAAATGAAACGTTTTTCTTTTTTCTCTTCGTTTTAAATGCAGTTGTTGAAGGGAGGTTTGTTGACAACAATCGAAACAGAACAAAATGAAACATTTAACATCATAATTTTGTGAAACTTACTATCACCAAAAGTAACATCATGGTTCAAAGAAATATCAAAACTTTCCATCTCCATTATGATTTAGAAAAAGGAGGTTATCGAGGTACAGAGTTAATGCTAAATATAGTTTTCTGTTTTTTTTTTGTTAATTATTTTATCTTTTCTTAGGTTATGATCGTCGACATTATCCCGAAAAAAATCGTTTTGCATTTAGTGATTCTGAATCAAATCCACGTAGTCGTATGCATATATCCTCAGCACCATCAAGAAATATGGATGAGCAATGGCGTCCACATGGTCGACATATCGAACCAAAATATACAAAGTAAATATTTCTATTCGGAATACATTATACGAATTGAAAAAATATTAGTGAAATCTGATACCATCATCGAGGAATAAGTGGGTTTCTGTACTTCTCGTATTTCTTCGTACTTCAACAATTAGTTAAATTTTATTTCATTTTTAATTTATGTAAATGTCCTTCAATAAACCATCTGAGTTGTACAAATTTCTAATTATTAATATAGTGACTCATAAAAAAAGACAAGTTTACATGTGTATTAGAACTTGTTCTGGTAAATATCAAAAATAACAAGTGCATATTAAAAATAAAACAACCCTCGAAAAAAATAAACGATACAGATATTTAAGCATGCTTTCCAGGAAATAAAAAAATGATGACATTTCTGAGGATGTAACGGATATTATTTTTGATGTACTTCATTTTAACTAATTAAAATGAAAATCAAAAATAACATCCGTTTCATCATTTTTATATTCCTTCGAATTTCTCTCTACATTATTATACTTCTGTGCACTTCGAAAGTAAAGAAGTCCACTTTTTTTTCTCCCCTTAGATACAATCCTATGAAACAACAGTTGTCGTTCTTTATTTGATCTTTTCTTCCTATGTAAACATCATATCGTAGACATTTTTTCTTTCTCGTTCGATCATTATTTTATTATTTATTAAAAGTTTCGGACTCGATTGGCAATCACGTATTCATTATATTGCTCCACCAGAACATCCAGACGCTAAACCAACATTACCTGTTAGTTTTATTGAACGTAATATACGTTTTACTCGTCCCTATCCACAGAACTGGCAACGTACAACGAATGAATGGATTTATTTCACTGATGAATCTATAGAACATAATCCATCAAAACGTAATTATTTTGCTGATATATATCTTCGTTCAATAGAAGATTTGGGTAATCAAGATATACATATGACACAAATTGGATATAAAAAAAAAGTTCTTGATAAACGTAATGGTTTACCAAAGAAATCTGACGGTGATAAAAGTTATCATAATGTTGAAGAATCAACAGATTTTCATAAATTTGGTTCAACATTACCTGTTGTTGAATTTGGACATGAAAAAACACGACATGAATCTGTAAAAACCTTAGTACAAATGAAAAATGAACATTTTCATGTTATGAATGATAAAGAATTTGCTGAACAAGAACGAAAACGTGAACAAGAAAATATTATTGATGAAGTTGCTCAATTAGATAATTGGAAACCAGCTCCACGTGTTAAAAGTGCATTTAAAGTGCTTGATCTTGATCCAAATGATAAACATGGAGGAAGATATAGACCTCGTATTCGATAAGTTATTTGTATTTTATTTTAAAAAAATAAAGACAACGGAAAATAAATTCGTTAGGTACTACATGAGAAAGTGGGCGTGTTTGAATAAAACGAAGAAAAGAAGATAAAATCTATAATTATCAAAATCCACCAATCTAAAAAGAAAATAAAGATTATACAAATTTATATAAATCAAAATAATTCATACAGCTACAAGATCAATTTCAGCTTGTGTTAATGGACGTCGACGATATTTATTAGGTATTTGAAGAAATTCAACTGTAGTAGTTGATTTTTGATTAGGTTTTATTTGATTCGTTGTAGATGATGTTTTATCAATAGTTTTTGATTCATTTTTCATTCCAGTTAATGAATGAGCTATGAAAAAAAAATATTTCTTTTCTATTTGAAATACAAAATTGTTTTTACTCGATGAATTTGAACTTGTTTGATTTAAACCATATCGAAATTGAATCATTGGTATATGATGACGAAGAGCTTTCTATAAAGATTAAAAAAATATTACGTTTAAATTTTATTTCAAAAAAGCTAACCTGAAGATTATTAATCATATTCGCCATAATACAAATTCTATAAAGTTCTAAAAATATATATTTTAATTATTTAAATGTATTTCTTTTTACTACAGAAGTTCTATGGAATATAATTAAATCAGACATATAAAATACGAAAGAAAACTTAGAAAAGTCTATGTGACATATGGTTTCAGATGTATGCAAAATAAAATAGACACTTGATTAGTCTCAAGAGAAAAGTGAAAAGATGATTAATATAAATTGAATTATAATAATCAAAAATTTCTGTTAATAAAAAGATTCGATTTAATCGAAAAATCTGTAAACAAGTAATTTTTATGATTATTTCTCAAAAATAGAACAGTTCTTTAAGTCTTAATATTTATGATATAGATAAAAATCTGTTTCTTTTTTTAGCTAACATTGATGCTCAAAAACTATTTCTATGGCGAAAAATATATCTGAAATCATCAGATGTTCCATCAAAACCAATCATTAGAAGAATTTGTTTCCTATTGATAGATATCGACATCTATGATAAGAGTAGCTTATATATATATTTGCTTTTCTCTCTGTATTTAACCTTAAAAATAAAAATGTTAAAGCTAACAAATAGTCGTTTTTTTTCTTTGGCATTTCGTTTAGCATGCCGATTTAATTCAACAACAACATCTAGTAGTGGATTTCCTGGTGAAAATTCTGATTTACGTGGTGATGGAGCTATTCGTCGAACTGAACTATATGGTTCGACTATTGAACAAACTTATAGTGGTGTTTTATCATTTCTTCGTCGAAATTATACACGTAATTTAAAAGGTGTTGATGTAGCTGTCACTGGTATTCCACTTGATTTAGCAACAACCTATCGACCAGGTACACGATTTGGTCCAAAAGGTATTCGTGAAGCATCAGTTCAACTTGCTGAACTTAAAACATATCCTGGTGGACTTGATCTTTTTGAAGATCTAGCTGTTATTGATTATGGAGATTGTTGGTTTGATCCTGGTCAACCAAAAACTGTTCCAATTGCAATTGAAAATCATGCAAAAAAAATTATTGATCAAAATGTTTTTCTTCTTTCATTAGGTTAATTCGATATTTTTTTTCTTCTATGTATAACAATAAAATCAAATATTTTTGTTATCTATAGGTGGTGATCATTATATGTCATATCCATTATTAAAAGCTCATGTTGCTCGATATGGAAAACCATTATCTCTTATTCAATTTGATGCTCATTGTGATACATGGCCAGATACATATCCAGATAGTTTAAATCATGGTACTATGTTTTATCATGCTGTTAAAGAAGGTCTTATTGATCCTAAAACATCTATACAAGTTGGTATACGAACATATAATGATGATTTTATGGGTGTTAAAGTTCTTGATGCAGATTGGGTTCATCGACATACAACTGAAGAACTTGTTGAAGAAATTCGTAATCGAGTTGGAGATACTCGAACTTATTTAACATTCGATATTGATTGTCTTGATCCAGCATTTGCACCTGGTACAGGTACTCCTGTATGTGGTGGTTTAAGTACAGCACAAGCTATTGCTATTATACGTCAACTTGGTTCAATAAATTATGTTGGAATGGATATTGTTGAAGTTTCTCCACAATATGATCATGCTAATATTACAGCTTTGGCTGCAGCCACTCTAGGACATGAATTTTTAATTTTATTGAGAAATAAAAAAATGGTTGACAAATCATTTTTATTTGGTAATCGTTAAAAACCGACTATTTTTTTTCTTTTTTTCAAATGCAAATCATACTAATAGAATGATTCAGATTTTAATTTTACCTATTTGTCATTTTAAATAGTATGTAAACTTAAGATTCTTTATGAAATAAAATTAAATGCGAAATATTTCTATTGTTATCAGTATAAAAAGCAAAATCTATTTGTTCATATAATATCAACAATAAACATTATTCGTACCAATCAAGAAATAGTAAAATGATATTATCTTTCTCGTCGTCAGTTAAAATTGTAAACATGTAAGTTATCCACGTCTATCGAATCATTTCTTTTTTTTTCTGATAAGTGACTAATCGATATATATATATGTAAATATACAGAATATTCATATCAAGATTTTCTTTAGATGATGTTTTGGCATCTAACGTACTTATTTTTTTGTCTTCTAACATTTACTTCTGTATTTTGTGCTGATACATCGTGCACCACGCTCAATTGTCAATTACCGAGTTGTCAATGTCCTATTAGTAATCGTAATCCAACATCATTAAATGTTACTGATATACCTCAACTTGTAAACAAAAAGAGATATTTGCGTAATTAAATATTTTGATTATTTATAGGTTTTATTCACATTTGTTGGTAATTTAAATCAATATACATTCGATTCAGTTCGTTCAATTCTTAATCCAGCTCATCGAAATCCAAATAAATGTCCTATATCATCAACATTTTTTGTCAATGATAATTTTACAGACTATTGTTTAGTACAACGTCTTTTTAATAATCATAATGAAATAGCTATGACAACTTCGAGTAATAGGTAAAAATATTAATTATTATTTTATTTAAATAAAAAAAAACTTTCTTTTCGAAAAACAAAACAGATGTCCATTAACGAATTGTTATGAAGAAAATCATTGGCGTCAATGGATTGATAATGATTGGAAACGTGAAATAAAACAACAACGTTTAAATCTTATTGAACAATCATATATTCATCATTCACATATAAAAGGTTTTCGTGTACCACATTTACAAATTGATGAAAATAAACATTTAGAACTTATTCGAAATTTTCATTTTAATTATGATTCATCAATGTTATTTCAATCATCGAAATTAATATGGCCATTTACATTAAATTACCCGATTAATCTAAATGAATGCATGAATTGTGATGAATCATATCCAACTATGGAAGGATTATGGCAATTTCCATTACATGAATGGACTTATTCAAATAGTAATTACAGTTTAACAACAAAGTCTAGTCAGAATAGGACATTTACCGCCTTCATTTGACTTTAATTTCTTCATACTCCGCTATGTCGCTAATAAAAATCAAATCGAATTTTCTAAAAAAATCTGTACGAGATCCGAAACTACTTTGAGCCCTTTGCACTGTTTACAAACTGTACTATTATGATACCTAAAGTAACTTGATATACGTATAATTAGCTATGAAAAGTTCTTCATATCCATCTTTCACTTAAAAGTATATTTTCTTTTTTTTATTATTATTTAGCAAGTGAATCTTGTCGTACTTTTTCTGATCCAAGTTGTTTACCCGAAGATGAAGTACATACTGCTGATTTATTGTTTGATTTTATTAAATATAATTTTGATCGTCATTCATCATTAACACTTGGTCAACGATCTCCATTTGTAATTGAACTTGATTTAATGTGGCTTTCCGAACATCAAAATAAACGTCTTGAAGCTATGCTTCGTTTTATTGAATATATTTTAAATAGTGAAGATCATCGTCATGTTTATTTTGTTTCACTTGAACAAGCACTTGAATGGATAAAATATCCTCGTACATTAAATGAACTTGAAGATTTTTGGGCATTTAGTTGTACTGATACTATATATGATTATGATATTGATTGTGCTGCTTTACAAACAGATTTTTCAAGTAAATCAGATGCTCAACGATTAATATCAAAAAATGAAACAAATAAAACAGATACTGAACCAGTTGATCGACAAGCTGAAGAATTATTTCGTAGTGGTATTTTAGTTCATTCCATATGGATATTTATCTTATTAATTATCGTCGTTCTTATATATGATAAGTATTTTGCTAAGAAATGATAGTTTTTATTTGATTTTATTACTTTTTTTTCTTTTGTTTAAACTATTGACAATAAATAAAAAAAAAACGAATCACTATCATATCATTTGTTTCTTTATGTCTTGTTCTTTTCTTTTCTATAAATGTATTGACAACAAAAACAGAAGAGATTTAGACATTGAACTGAACCGGAGAGAGAGAAAAAAAGAGAACGAGAGAAGAAAGAAAAACAGATTTCGTTATATAGGTATTATACAAGATGAAATCACTGGTTTAATACTTATTATGACAAAGAAATATATAGATTGTCTTATTGAAAGATGTATTTTAATATGATTGCAACAATAATTATAAGTATATATTGAGTATATGGTAAAATATAACTAAATTGATTTGATTCATTTTTAGCTCGATTATTTTTTAATAAATTTAAATCTTTTTCATGTGTATCAAGTCTTTCATTAATACGATTTAATGTTGTTTCAAGATGTTTTAATATTGCTGTTGAGTCTTCAGTCAATTTTGACTTAAATAATGATGTTTGATTCAGATTTGTTGGTGTTATTGATTGTGAATGATCATCATGAATATTATTTAATGATGGTGACGGGCCACGTGCTAATGTTGAAGTTTGTCGAACAGGATTAATTGTTAAATTACTTCGACTTGAAGATTTATTTGTATTATTCATATTATGTGCACGATGACGAGTACGAGTACAAATCACAAAATTATTTTCATAAGTTGATATATCATTATGAGCATCCCATGGACGTGCGCTAAAAATAATTTCAAAGAAAGTTTAAGAATTCTGTCAGCTTTTTCTTATAATCAACATGTAACCTCTAGGAAATGAAAATATTTCCTAATTAGATTGAACTCTCTCTTTTTTTTTCTGAAAGGTTATTTGTTGTCATTCTAATCTTTTATATATATATATATATATATATGAAAGTGCTTTTTCTTCTTTTTATATATAATTGACTTACTCAGCATAAGTATAAATCCATTCTTTTGTATTTGAATCAATATTGAATAAACGTGGATGCCATTCTGTACTCGTTGCTTTACGTTCTTTTATTTGTCGTCTTTGTTCATCTTCGATAATTGTTTTTTCCTCTGTTGCAGATATTTGATCATTTTGTTTAATAGCTATTGTAACACGTTGCCATAATCTATGGGGAAAAAAAAATATTTAAAAGAGAAAATATGTTGTTTTTGTTTTACTTTTCTGATTCATTATCTTGTTGTTGTTCAATTGGAACAACATATCGTTTTAATCGTGAATTGACAACAGATTGTGAAACTTTCCAAAAGACGCTTTTTGTCTTTAAATAAGAAAATATTTTTGAAAAAAAGAAAAATTTCTTGACAAAATAAACATACATTTGTTGCTTTCTCAACCATTGTTATTTCATCATCCCAATGACCGGAAAATGTATATATAACATCTTTCTCAAGTCGTATTTTTCCTTCAATATGATTTGTAAGTTCTTGACCACCGATAAATGGCTAGAATAATAAAAGGATTTAAATTAATAGACAAATATATTTTATTATCTATACTTTTAATTTAAATTCAATATCAGCTGAATATCGAGTTTTTTCACAAACAATAGTAACTTTACCACCTAATTCCATAGTTAATTTACCAATAAGAATCCCTTTGCAATTAGCATATGGCATTGTGATAACATAATCTTCACCTCTACTAAGAAGAGTAAGTCGAGCTGCTCCATCAAGTATAGCCGAAAGACTATTGCCTATAATAAAATAACATTTAATAATCATATAAAACAAAGAAATTATCTATATACCATAGAATTTTGATCTTGCCAAAATACTTCCTTGAACACAAAATCCTTCCTTTCGATTTGATACATAGAAATTTGTAATTGGTGGATGATGAGATATCTATATAAACAAAAGTACATTTTTTTTATTCATACATCCGAACTAATCAAGATGATCTAACAACAACAACAACTATAGGCGCAACAAAAAGAAACAAGAACGATTTTCTATTTTTTAGCCATCGCAACGACTTGTTGAATCCAACTAAGGTAAGCTGAAACTTTAGTATAAATTCCTGGATAATTAACACGAGCGCATCCAGCACCATACGATGTTATACCAACAAGAACCCATTGATCAGATTTACGTGCTTGATAAACTAATGGGCCGCCAGAATCACCTATTTAAAAAAATATCAAAGGTTACTTTTCTTTATTTTTTAATAAATCTTTTTCCTTACCTTGACATGTATCTCGGCCACCTCCTTGAATACCTGCGCAAAGTTGGGTTCGAGAATTATATCCTCCATAAACACTACTACATGTTGGCAAAAGTTGTATAATTGCTTGTTGTAATGTATATGGTAAACTTCCACCTTCACTAGTTAAACCGAATCCAGTTATAGCTACAGGTTCGTACATTGGTATATTATAGTTAGAAGGTGGTAAACAAATAACATTAACAGTATCACTTATGTCAACTGTACGACTTAAATGCATTATAGCTATATCATATCCATATTCAGCACTAACATAATTTTGATGTACATAAACTGATGCTACACGATAAGTTGTACCAGCATAATAACCTTGTCGAGCCTGATTATGTGCACCAACAGTAACCGTATAATCACTTGGATTATTTGATTGTCCAACGATACAATGAGCACCTGTTGTAATATGTTCACGAGTAATCAATGTTCCACCACAAATAAATTGACCATTTAATGATATATAAACTTGCCATGGCCATGCATAATCCGATGCAAGTTGACCACCAACAATACGGTCACGAAGAGCAAAATACGATTGCATTGTACCACATGCACGGCCTCTTCCTTGTGCATTGATTACAGGAATAAGTAGTATTATAATAAGGAATAACATTTTTATGACGATTGACCCGTTGATGTTATCCTTTTATATATCGGTCATCTTTTCTCTCTCTCTCTCACTCGCCCTTTCTTTGTTTAATTAACAAACGAATCAGAAATAAAGAAATATTACCTGTTCGGCTAAGTAGAATGTTTTGCTGTCGTTCTTTGTATGATGAAAAAAACATCGATAAACTTCTCCAATAACTGGATTATATGGTTTTTTTAACCCCTAAAAATAATTAAAAGAATAAATAAGTTATGAATTTCTTATTATTTTACTTTAGGTTTTTTATAAAATCCAGATAAATAAAATTTTACAATAGTTTTCATTCGTACTAATGGATCAGAAGAATTAACCGCTCTAAAAATATTTCGAATATTTCGATATTTATATAATTAAATCACTATTTTATACTCTTCAAGAATATCACAATGATGATAATAATCCGAAAGTTTTTCAAGAAATGATCTTGGTTCTAATATAAAAGTTGGTAGAACAACTTTTGATAAATCCATTCCAGGTCGAACTTGTTTTAATAAATGCATAATAAGAGATTTATTTTCTTCAGCTACTTCTTCTGTTTGTGCAACATTACCAAGCTAATACAAAGAATAAAGAGTACAAAAGAAATTGTTTATTCATTAATAAAAAATATTCGTATTATTTTACTTCTCCCATTTCTTCTGGTGCTGCTGCAATATAAGGAGTTTCAACTTCATCATCATTTAAAAATTCTTGAGAACTATCTGAATGACTTGAACCACTTCGTGATGCTTTACTTATATCACCACTAGCATCACTCATACGATCATCTTCTATAAACAAAAAAAACAATGTATAATTAACAACAAGAAAACGGAGAATATTAGTAAATACAAACCTTCTTTAGTCGCATTACGACTTATTTCAAAATCATTATCAGAAAAACTTGTACTTAAAAATGTCACTTCACCAGGTGTAGTTGATGTACTTGAAAGATTTTGAGAATTTACTGTTGACTCATCATTTGCTATTGAAGAAGAATAAGGTTTTTTTAATAATTTTGAACATTTCATTGTTAATTCAAGTGCATCCATCCAACAACGACCTACAACAACAGCAAAAAAATGTCAAAGATTTTTCAATTGATACATAAAACAAATAGTTATCTAACCTGCTGTTTCATCGGATGCACGACAAATAAGATAATTCATTGGAAGAGGAAATGTTATTGCACCAAATTGTTCATTATTTGGTCCTTTTTGTGCCCAAATAGATTTTTCAAGTGGATGCCAAATTTTAAAACAAAACCCTGGTTTTTTTGAAGGACGTTGAATAACTATGTCAATGACAATAAAATCTTATAGTAAGGTTTTATCAAAATCTTTTTTTATTATACAATGAAAATGTCAATAGAGCTTTAAGCTTATATGAAAGATCTACTTATTCTATGTCATTCCGATATATATATACTAACCTTCGCAAGAAGATAAAACAACGGTGCCAACCCAAACACCATTCTATGAAAATAATTCAAATTAAGAAGAAATATAATTAATTAAAAAGAACAAACTTTAGATGGTGGATTTCGATAGAGTAACATTAAACCAGGTTTAAGAATAGCCCATAATTTTGTCCAATCTCTTAATGTTCCTCGAACTTTAAGCCAATCGCTAACAATAACTACGGATGAATCTTTAAGAACATTTGCTAATTCAGATGTAATACGCTTTTTTGCACTTTGATATGATTGTTTTTTCATCTAAATCGAAAAAAATAATAATTATAAACTTAATTCATTTATTTCTCTAATACTTTATATGATTCTTGTTTATAATTATTTCGTTCGACTGATTCATTAGACGAACCTAATGATTCAAATGTTGTATTAAGCTAAAAAAAAACTTTTATTATTATTATTATTGAAAGCAAAAAAATTGTTCTTTTAACCTTATTCATATCATCATCATTTAATAATCCCATTGTTACTAAACCTAAATATATCAATGTAATGAATAAATTCAAATGATCATGTTTAGTTTGTTTTTTTTACCACTAGCTAATTCATCAGGTTTTGCTTGTTCAGTAAAACTTGACACTGTACTTGATCGAATAATATTTGTATCATTATCATCTTTATGTCTTGATAATGACCGATCTAAACGTGAAGATGTTTGCTTAGGTAATGTTTGTTGACGAATGCCATTAATATTTGACTAAAACATATATTTAATTACTCTTAAGTAATCAAACTTCTTCTTTTTTTTTTTGTACTTACTAAATTTTCTTTTGAATCTAAACTGTGCGTTGGTGATTCCATGATTGCCGTAGGTATATTTGGCTAAAATAAGATAATAGAGATAATATAATTATGAAATTAATTAATTAATTAGTTAATTAATAATTAGCGATAGATTCAAACCTTTCGGACAGAGCGAGTACGTGATGGACAAATAGAGATCCGATGATGAGTTGTCATAATCAAAGAACGCAAATAAGGAAAACAAAGAGGAGAAGATGATGATGAAGAAGATGAAGAAGGAAACGAAGCAAAGATGTTTTTTGTGCTTTCTTTCTTTATTCTTTTTCTTTTCTTTCTCTCTTTTTTTTATTTTTACTTTTTTAACGGGTAGAAAAACTTCTTGTTTTTCTTCGTCGTCTGCTGCTGTTGCTGATCTCTGCTTTAGTACCACTTTTGTTGTTTGCTTGTTAACATCTTTACTGTCATCATCGTCGTCGCTATTACATCGATGACTAACACAACATAAAGATAAATCATCTTTTCCTTTCCGCTTCATTCTTCTTTCAATGACGATAAATGTATTGTCCTTGTTGTTCTATTATCATTTCCTTCGGAGGCAAAACATTAGAACTATAGCAGCATTTTCTATTGTAGACGTCCAATAATAATGTATCTATATATATATATGTATTACTTTTATTCAGCTCAGTTGTGATGTAATGACGTCGGTAGTTTTTTTTTACTTTCGTCACGGTTGCCCGATAATTATTCGCTTGGTTTCATGTATGAGAAGAAAGAGAGAAAGGCGGAGAAAACAAATGTGGTTCCTCGTTTTCGGCTCGTGTTTTTCTTTTATATATATATATATATATATATCTATTTTGCTTTTAGTACTCGATGCTTTTTCATTTCTTTTTTTATTTTTTATGCATACAGTCAGATGCTATAGAGTATGCACGGTTGACCTTATATTAATACGATACTCTCACATTCAAGTACTGCTATAAACCAGAAGAAAAATAAAATGCTACGAAACGTAGTTATTGTCATCTTCTTCTTTTTTTTCTTCTCCTCTTTTCTGTTCGATTAACAAATTACTCTCATTTTATATTAATGATATAAGACACTTTTTTCCTAAGTAGATGCATGAATATATGAAAAAGATCTTGTTAATAGTTGTACTTTTGCTTATATTAAATGTGTTGAGTGGAAAAAAACAGGAAAGAAGAAGAAAAAGAAGAAGAAACGGAAAAAATAAAAGAAAGTTTTATGTTGTTTTCATATAGCACATATTTAATCTTAGTGTCTGCATTAACGATTAGTAATAGCTGGTTAACTTTGCATTCATATATATATCTCACCTGTCTTTTATTCTCTCATTTCTATATGAGATGTTCATTGGTACAAATACAATCTCGTATAAAATCATATTATTAATATACCTTTTTTTTTGGCTTTAAACATAAAAGAAATGTTCTATTATGAGCTTTATATTATATACTTACACGTTAGTTTTATCCTGATGTGTTATGATTATAAAAATATGACATGATCAATAAAATAAAAGATTATCTAAAATATAATAAATATTTAAAATTTAATAAGGATAATATACAATAAAAAAAAATCTTCCTTTCGCCTTCGGTAACTAAGAATTAATTGACTGAGATTTGGAATAAATAATAATAATATATGAAGGAGAAAACAATTTCGCAATCTACTTTGACGTGACATGCAAATTGAATTTTATTTATCCTCAATTAACTTTTTGTCTCAAAGAAAAGTCATCGAGTTCAATCAATTACTTCTTATATCCCTCTTTGTAGGTGTAAATAAATTTCCGGAATTAAATCTATTGAATAATTTTCCTCCTCGGGCATTTCTTTTCGCTTAATAAAAAAATAAATAATAACTATTTAACGGTAATGATGTCAACCGTTTTATTTTTTTTATTTGTAACAAAAACATGATTTTTTTAGCTTGTTTTATTAATCAGCTTCATCCATTATTGCATATTGTTCATCCTCTTCATCACGACATTTATATTCAGCAAGTAATTTTCGAACTTCCGGTCCAACTGTATGATGAAATTGATGATGTAATAATTCTAATAAAGCTTGTTTTTGTTCTTTAAAAGTTCAAAAATTAAAATAAATGAATTCATAAAAGAAAAGATTTCAAACCTGTTGAGATATCTTGTCGGTAATTTTGAACAAAAGAAAGTAATGATTGATGCCAAAGAACCGGTAATTCACGTGTATCAGAACGGAATCTTAGGAGAGAAATAATAATAATACAAAATCATTAATAAATAAATACATACTTAATGAAATGGTGAACAAGTGCATCAACAACACGGAATGGTAATGCATAACGTTTTTCAATAAGTGTTCGAATAAATATCGAATTACCACCAGAATAATTCATTTCAGCTATTTTTAATAAAGCAGCTGCTGAATGTAACATAGGAACAGAATTTTTTGCAAGAATGCTTGCAAATATAACAGCTTCACGAAGAGTACATGTACCAGACTAGAAAAGACGGAAATAGATTCGATTAATAATATAATATAAGCAGATGACATTGATATGTAATATTCTTGTAAAATACATATTATTTGCGAAAAGAATTCTGAAAAATGTATGACATATATCGTTTGAAGTACTTAAGAAAATAGATGATGAGTAGGAGACTAGATTCAGATTTACAACTTCCAGAAAAAAAAATATAATCAATGAAATATTACCTCACATAATGGTAGGATAATACCTTTGAAGAAAGCACTTGGTTTAAATAAAGCTTTTCTCAATGCCTAAAAAGAAATATGTTGAGATTCAGTGTTGTTTTTAGAAGAATAAATTTACCATATATAGATGGAAATTGAGTTTTTTATATGTATCAATATCATCTCGAATACGTGGAAGTAAGATAATATTATAAAATCTATTTAGATTTTGAATAAAACAAATATTTTTTTTTGTATAATAATAAAATATACCGTTGGGCCATTTTAGCATCCATATTTGAAGCAAATAATCGTGTTGCTTGATATATAGATGCTGCAGTCCATCGATCTGGTTGTGTGACGAGAAGTACCTAAAATGAGAATTTTGTATAGATTTTATATTTTAACAAAAAAAATCAATCATTTACTTGTTCCCAATTAGCTAAATTTGGTAGAATTTTGAATGCTTTTGGTATTTTACCACTTCGATAATGAGAAAGAATCTGACCAACTTGTTCATACATACTGGAAATACGTGGATCAAGATCATTATCAGCTAGAAATCAAAAAAGTAAATTTCAAATTTTGTTATTTCATATATAAAATTATTACGTGATGTTTGATTTTGTGCTTGTTTTTCAGCAATAATATCACCAAGTAATCGTCGTGGTTGGCCTGACATAAATGCTTCAAGTGCTTTTTCATCATTTTCATCAATCTTTAAATAAATTATTTTCTTCAAAAAAAAAACTTTTTTTTATTTAATATTATCTTACTGAGACTTCATCATCTTCATATTCATCTTCTTGTACATTTAAATCTTCATCTTCACTATCTTCAGTTCGTGTTTTTTTTATTTTATTAATACGTTCTATGGATTCTGGATCTCTATAATAATTAATAGAGACATACATATATGAATAATAATTAAACAATTTCTTACGCTTCTTGTGTACTAATTGCTAGAAGTTCATCATGAACATCAAATTCACTTTGTTGTTCTCGAGCTTGTTGAATAATTTTTCTCGATAGACGATCGTCAATAATCTAATAGAAATAATTCTTTCTATTTAATTAAAAAATATTTTTCGAAACAAACTTGTTCATCTTCTTCATTATCTTCATGTTTTCGTTTTTGTTTTTCTCGATTTTTTTTGCTTGGAACACTTCGATCTTGATTGATTTGATCCGTTAAACCATCAGGTTTTTTAACTGGATCTCCGTGATGTTGATTTTTAGATTTTCGATGCATTGTCTAGAAATAAATGCAAAAAAATATCATTGGAAAATAATTTTATCTTGTTTTCATTAAGGACAAAAAATCACATTAATATTATAAAAAAAGACAGAATCAAATTTATGTCTATTGCAATAAAAATCTAACTAAACAAATGATTTATTCTCGTTTAGCTAATGTATTAAGTTGTTCACGAATCCGTGTAAAATTATCTAAGACAAGATTAAGAGTTTCTTTTGATAATTCAATTTG